CTTTACGCGTTTCAGAGAACTTTATACGACTACGTAGCAATCTCTGACGCATAACGCGATAAACTTGGACCCGTGTCTACACGTGTGCGCGATTGCATATGCGCGCATTCCGCAGTGTTCACTGTCGAGTAATTCTTCTCACACGCTGATTGTTGTCTTTACTTTTTCGTATTGCCATAACGACGGAGACAAAGCATACACCTATAGATCCCAATAAATAAATCCCAATAATCGTTAGAAGATGGACGAATCAGAATTCTTTTAGAATTTACCAGATGTGTAGCGAAGTCTAGCAAACTTCTGGTTATGAAATATCGAGGCCTATCGTGCTAACTAGAAATTCTATTTGGTTTAGCCAAAATACATTCTATCATACATGTCTTGTTGATACAGTCGAAGCATTTTTCTCAGTGCACTTAATGAAGCAATGTCTGACTATGAACACTTTTAATTTAATTTCATTTTTAAATATATATTTTATTTTATAAAATTCATTTTCCGACGTATTTTCTCATGGTGATTCCCTTCAGAACCGCAATACCTAGGGGAAGGTGGGGCACATTGAGACACGGGGCACTATGTGACAGCGATTTTTTCTCAAAACGCAGCGAGCGCAGCCAAACATGGACACACATAAAAGAAAGGCGTCATAAAAAAAGTTACTTTGACGGAGTTTCAGAAGTCTCTGAAAAAACTCAGGGCGGTTAGAGTAATATAACAAAATCCGACCAGACCGGCAATTTGATTTTCAATTTATAGTTTTGTTTCTCAAGGTAATGCATTTCTTTTGATGGCACAAGTATACATGGCCTATTTTAAGATTATGTTTAACGTTTTATTTAAGATTATAGTCATGTTAATGCAAGCCTCGTATCACTGTCCACCTGAAGTTAAGTGGTAAAGGTATACTTGGGGCAGTATGTGACAGTAATCCTTGAGGCACATTGTGACATGCTTATGTTTGTTTATCAATTAATTATTCGCTCTTTTATCATTGTTTTCTCTTTTATCATTGATTATTAAGCTAAGGTTACCAGACGTCCCTTAAAAAAACCGATTATTCGGGATTTGTAATTTAGATATGTGTTCAGGCTTTTATAACTCGTAGCTCCCTCTTGTCCGAGATATGGAAAAAAGGCTAAGCTAGACTAGGGCTAGGTTAGGGTTAGAGTTAGGTTAGGTTTGTGGGTTTATCCCATTTTATTTTGTTTTATTTTAATGTTTTAATATTTTATTTTAATATATTTTATTAAGATTGAGAAAAACTCATAAAAAATTCATAATTTAAGGACATATTAATACGAGTTCGTTATAATATTAATTTTTTTAAATGTAGACTGTTAAAGTTATAGTCTAAGTTAGCATATATACAGGGTGTTAATAAATCATCGCATTGGCGGTATACCATCGGATAGCGCGCGAAAATCTAAGAAAAATTTCGTTTGTTACAAGTCGATCCGATCATTAGGTTCCGAGTAATTAATTATTGAAAAATAATAATTTGGGCCAATCTGCGCGCGAGCCCAACGGACAGGAGAAGAGGCACACGCGATGGGCACGCTCGGCCGTAGCCGCCAGCGCGCGCGGACGAATACACCGAGCGGAGGGTTAGACGGCCGTATATCTACCAGTGAAAGCTTTATTTTTAACATTAAAACAACTTAAAAATTTTTATTTTTTTATATTGTATCAATGTTGAAGGTGCAGTAATAAATGTTCAAATGTATTCGAAATGTATTAGAAAGATTTTTTTCCGGCCTTAAAACGCCTAACTTTGGCCTGTCACATACTGCCCCATGTATGGGGTAGTATGTGACAAATGGGGTACTACGTGACAGTAACTATTTCTCAATTGTTTGCAAAGATTAAAATTTGGAAAAATTACTAACTGTTCCTTGTTGAAAGGGGAACTTAATCAACTCATAAGAATTTGAATATTCTTTTACACCAAAAAGAAGGAGCGGAAAAACAAAATCTGTCACAATGTGCCCCACCTTCCCCTACTTTACTTCAAATTTAAGAATTAGTTATGCCCGCAACTTTATTTGAATTTAATTTCTCATTTGGATGAATTTATTGTTGTATGAAATTTTACAGTCACGGATTTGACTCGCTCAAAGCTCCGTACTTGTTTACTGAGCGATTTCGCCTCTAATATCGCAGATTCTTATTATTCGTCCAGTAAAAACGCTGCATAATTGTTTCCGCGTAATTTTCATTTGTTTCTTCGACTTTGAAACGTCAATTATCATTCATTAACGGCCGGTTTTGTGTTTTTTTCCAACATGTTTTTCTGAAACACCTGATTAATACCTCATGTCAATGGGATACACGTGTATCGTTCACCGATTAAACGCGGCACACGACCTACTTATGACGTGGAAGGAATTTGTTATACAATATAATTTATTTACCACGGTGGCATTGATACGTGCAATCGTCGAGCACAGTTTTTAATTGCTCGGCTTAGAAGAAACGTGTGAAAAGCGGCAAGCCCCGCATATGAATATCGCTTTTCTTATCAGCAACTTATCGTATCAGTCGAAGAATTATTATTATATTTTCAAGAACTACGATAGTAAACCAGCCAATGAAATCATCAAATTAACTCACACCTCTCGAGGACAGACGCAGGATGAGTAGCACGTTTTCATTAAGATCGTCGAACCGATTAGTTGTCGCAAACACACCTCACTGTCGAATTTTACGATCGAGAGATAACGACGCAGCGTGATAGATCTGAACGCTTCAAGAGATCGTGTTCAATTATCCGTCAAGTTTATAACTGCTAACCAGACGAGTCGTTGTTCAAAGTCCAAGGTTATTAATCGCATTCACAAACGAGCATGGTTGCTACCTGCGGGGGCAACGATAATCCGTGAGCCAGGGGTGAATTAGATTTTTCACGAAAATATTTTCATGGAAAAAAAGCTATTACTTATAAACTGTTATTACCGCACAGCATTGCGTGAAAATGTACGAATATAAGGCACTTATAACGTTCCATCAGCCATTTTACTTACGGGACGTTCCAGCATTTTCCATTACTTTTACAAAACATGTGTTTTCCAGACCTTCTTAAGTTCAATTCAAATGTTCTCCCGAGGTCGAAATTGGAGAAGACAGTATTGCACACTTTTACTAAATGACGTGCAGTGTCTGACATTTGTTACATTGTTAGCAAACCGGTTTTCCTGGTGAAATCGAAAGGAAAAGGACCTTCATGAATGAATCAAATAACGCACTCTCGCTGAAAGGCCTCCTACCTGAAAGCGCGACGAACTGTCCACATATGTTCGTGTTCGCACATCCTCCGTGAATTATCGTCGATACTCTCCTCTCTCTCTCCCTCTAGGAGACACATTTACTGATATTTTTGCGACTTACGAGCGAAGCTTACGCGCTTGTGGATCTCGTTAAATTAATTACATATCTTGTATCGATCGGGAGCCGTCATCAAGGCGCTCCTCTCTCGTTCTCTCCCGATATTACTCTCCATCGCGGCTCGACTGGAAATCGAGTGAAACGCAGACGAACTTTCTATGTCGCACGCAGTTGCGTTCTTGTAACGCACGCTTACGTTACAAGAAGCCAAAATTGTAACACGAGAGAAGACCGCTCTGTTTCGAGCGCTTCGCATTATACACACGTTATTATCCGACCCGGGATATATATTTATTAATTTTTTTATGAACTCTGCGCGCTGGACTTTCACTTCGCAACGATTGCCAACTGGCATAATGCTCGATGAAATTAATTCTGAAGTAATAATTTGATGCACGAGATAGGAAAAAAAGAGAGGTTTTTATATATTTTATATGAAAAAATACCCTCGCAATAGTCGCGATTTTTTACTATATGTCTTATAAAATAGCATCATTATAAATAGCATCATTAATCAGAATAAATGTTTAATTTATAAATTTTTTCCCATTAAAATTGGTTTCTTACATATTGTTAATCTTAATAATGCTTCTTTTTCGCATGATTAACATTTCGAGTTGGCATTAATTCCCATATCCTTGCATTCTGATTTCTAGTTGTAATAGAGTTCTTTTTAATTTTAAGTGGTTTCTATTTTCTACAACCCGCATTGATTTGACGACACTTAATTTTCATGTGTACATCGCGCAAGAAAAATTCGAATAATCTCTCGACAACGCGACGACACGGGAGCATTAAAGACTCCAAGAATATGGCAAATGAAATTCATAGTTTCACTTAGAAAGGACAACGGACCGGTGGGCGAGGAATAACAAAAGTTGCGCGCGAGAATTTAGAATATTTAGACCGAGCACAGAATACGTCTCTATCAGACATTCTTTTGAAAGTGGAATATGCTTGACCTCCATAAAGTAAGTCTGCCATGGACGGCGATTTGCAAGTACACCGAACTCGCGTTACCATATGACGACGGCTTGTATTTACCAGCTTGGCAACGTTCTACAATGCGTTCACGCGCGCACTCGTGCGCACCGCAATTGCGGCTTTTAAGTAAGGTCAACTGGTGCATCTGCGTTCACCCTGCATCGTTATCGCCGCCACGATCGCGTAGCGGTCACTCGGCGAGATTGCTCTTTCTCTCGTCGTTCGGCCGACGTGCCTCTTTTCTGAATTGAAAAAAAAGAACTGACATTTTACTCCATTAATTTTGCAAAACTTAAAAAAAATTTTTTTTATGTCATATTAAACTTCAACTTTTGCAGGACAGTGCAAGCATAGGCTACTATTCTGTACCCAAGAGGCCAACTGGTCGTAATTGACATTTAGCAAATTTATACAGGAGAGCCGAAATTAACTTGTATTTTTAGAGGTGGTTGTTTTATAACATTTTAATACTATTGTACGGTTCGTTTGAACATATTTCGTAGAAAATAAAATAAAATAATTAGAGCGTTCAGTTGAGATAAAGGCCTCAAAATCGATCATTTCGTAGTTACGACGGTTTACTTGTTAGATACAGAATTAAGTCGCGAAGAATATTAATTCCTAAAATACCAACGTGCGAATTTTACAGGAAGGCTAGCGCAGGATGGCGGAAGCCCATTCGGCTGTCGCATTCAGCTTCTCGATAACACACGAAGGATGGGACGTGAACTTCGATCGAGAGGTGCTCCACTTGGTCTGGCTCTCCGGTATACGCTCGTGGAAAAAGAGATTCTTCCGGTTTCAGGTGAGTGATGGCAAACATCGAATATGAATACGAGACAATGAATATGATCAACGCGCATCTTCACACGCGTTTCGTTTCGCAGAACAATCTGAAAAGCGGCGTTTATCCGGCTTCTTTGGAGAGCCTATGGGTGACTGTGATTTTAGTTACGGCGATACACTTTGCTGGTTACAAGGTTCCGTATGACCTCGTTGGGAGAGTTTCGCCGTATCTTTCTGGGTAAGACAACACAATTTCGCGATTACAAATTATTTACGACGCACCTCGTTGCACCTGCAGGAATTAGCAGTGATTAATAAACCGTTTGTTTCTCACGACAGGTCCTCGATACTCGCGCACCTGGCAGGCTCCTTCGTGGTCGCGCTCTTTCTGTGGTTGGCGGTGATATACGCGATTCGGTATACGTTGAAGTTGTTGCTCATGTACAAAGGATGGATGTACGATCCGAGAGGAAAAGGTCGTAAACCGTCCAAGTTGAACCAAGTCTGGCTGCTGCTGGTGAAAGTGTTCTCAGGTTGGCATAAGCCCATGCTGTACAGCTTCCAAGGATCACTGCCACGATTGCCGCTACCGACAGTACCTGAAACTATGAAGCGGGTTAGATCAACGTATTTTATGAACTTCTGTTAGACACGAAACGAGTATTTCGCTTTCTTTTCGCAAATTGGATTCGGATTATTATTGTTAGTCCATCGAATATTTTATATGTATAATCCTAACTTCTAGTCCAGTCCACAACGGGACTCTAGGCATTTCTCTTTAACATTGTAGTGGAAAAATCAAAGTATTGTACATTTAAATAGTATCTGAGGAGCGTACGGCCGTTGGTCGATGACGAGAATTACGCTCGCATGGAAAGGCTGGCCAACGAGTTCCAGGACGGCATCGGAGTCAAGCTGCAGCGTTACCTAGTCCTCAAATCTTGGTGGACCACCAACTATGTGTCCGATTGGTGGGAGGAGTATGTTTATTTGCGCGGAAGATCGCCCCTAATGGTCAACTCGAATTTCTACGGAATTGACGCCATCCTTGAGCATCCCACGAACGTGCAAGCCGCGCGAGCCGCAGCCGTAATATATTCCTGCTTACAATATAGACGTCTTATCGAGCATCAAGAATTAGAACCGGTTAGTTTCTTTTTCTTTTGTTAATTATCAGTTCTTTTTGTTAATTGCTTGAAGGATGTGCGAATTTTTTTTTATTCACTTTTTGTTGTCGAGAGTAATGCATCTTAGTATATTATCATACATGTTTAATCACGCAAATGCAAGACATATATATTTTTTAAATAACGTACATTTTTCAGATCCTAGTACAAGGGATAGTACCATTGTGTTCTTGGCAATACGAAAGAGTGTTTAATACTACACGAATCCCAGGAATTGAAGTTGACAAGATCGTGCATTACCAGGATACTAAACATGTTATAGTGTATCATAAGGGCAGATATTTCAAAGTTTTAATTTATTACCGTAATAGAATTCTTCAAGCCTGCGAGATAGAACTGTAAGCTATTATTGTTTCATCAGTATGCATTTTTATTATGCGCGTGTATTACGATAATATCGCCTTACAGCCAGATTCAACAAATTTTGGATGATGATTCAACACCGTCGGAGGGAGAGGAGAAATTGGCTGCTTTAACAGCTGGTGAGAGAACTGCCTGGGCACAGGCCAGGAAAGACTTCTTCGCGAAGGGTGTAAATAAGGCTTCTTTGGATATTATCGAGAAGGCTGCATTTGTGGTCGCATTGGACGATGAACCTTATGAATACGATCCAGTATGTTATCTAATAAAATACTTTGAATATAAATATTAATCATATCTGCCGTAAATGTAATTATTATAATCATTTCGTCCCTTAGAAACATCCAGAAAAATTGGACCGTTATGGTAGGATCCTGTTACATGGAAAAGGGTACGATCGGTGGTTCGATAAATCTTTTACGCTGTGCATTGGAAGTAACGGCAGAGTAAGTATTATGAAGAATTATTAAAATTGTTTGTCGTTAATATTTCAGTGTTTCGTAAAAATAATTCCTGTTCGCAGATTGGCTTCAATGCAGAGCATTCTTGGTGAGTATTATATTTTGCGTGAATTGTATAAAGAAATAATGATATTTAGAAAAATAATGCGCATCTATTTTTAACAAGGACAAAACTAAAACGCATACTTGTTATACATGATATTATATTACGAGACGTTAGAACTACTTTTCATTTTTATTAATATAAAATATTTATTACCTACAAATTTGTGTGTATATTGAAACACTGCATATAATGATAAGTAATGAGCAGGGCAGATGCTGCAGTCATGTCGCACTTATGGGAATACATAGTATGTTCGGAGTTTCTGGACCGACAGTAAGAATTACAATCCATAACTTGTATTTCTTTTGCATATCTATTCTCTTTCTCTGCTTCTGAAAGATAACCGTTGTACATTATTGTCCACTTCTTGTTATGTTTGAGAACTTCTGTGAAGATAGTTTGGATGCAACATACATATATATATATATATGTATACTTATGTGTTTCTTTTTATTTAACAATAAGATCCTTCTTTTAGCAAATCTTTAGTGTCTTCGAGCGCTCCTCGCGGTAGTCATCTTTAAAGTTCTATGGGGTTCTTATTATGCTTATGTTTCAGTCTCAGCCTCCTAATATTACGTTTCCTGGATGTTACTTTACTCCACCGGATACTTGTACCGACAACGAGTGCTTTTCACATTTCTTCTTCGCGTTTTGTCTTTAATGTTTCTTTTTTATGTGCTTGTTAGGGCTGATGCACCAGTGATCGGAACTCTATGGGAATTTATTTTGGCTGCTGATATTGAAATCGGGTAATTTTTTTTGTGTGTCGCACGGTTGGATGTAGTGGGAGAAATTACTAACTGCTCATCTCTATCATTCTTAACAATTATACAGGGTGTACTAAAACCACCGGAGGTCCTCTTAATGACAGATTCCTTAGAACATTT